GTGTGTGTGTGTGTTTTGTGTGTGTGTGTGTGTGTGTGTGTGTGTGTGTGTGTGAGTGACCATGTGTTTCTGTTTCTTAACCTCTGTTTGTGTTGATTTAGTTTTTAATGTACTGTCGCGTCATTATTTTATTACTATCAAAACTACCTTTCAATTCAAATGATCACAGTCAATAAATCATTCATTATTCACGTTATGGAGCTCTGGCTCTTTCCAGCGTTTTGTGTTCTTCTGTCTTCTGCTGTTTTTCTTGTCATGCATTGAAATCATGGAATTCGTTTTTATTTTTAGGTTACAGCTTGTTAATAATTTGTGTTAAAACTTGTTAATGACATAAAATTTCAAGCTGTTATAGTTCATTTTATTCAACATGCAATTTCATGACATTCAAGGAAAATAGTCTTGTACTTTTTAAACTTCATCTGTCACCCCACATTTTCAAAATGACAATTAAAAAACAAAAAAAAGTTTTGTGTGTGTGTGTGTTTCTGTCATTATTGTTGACTTGATTGCACAGACACTATTGGAAGCGAGCTGAGCTGGATGATGACATCACTGAATCGATGAATGATGAACTTTTCCTGTTTAATTCTCTAAAGCTGCTTTGACACAATCTGTATTGTATAAAGTGCTATAGAAATAAAGGTGACTTGAGTGTGTGTGTGTGTGTGTGTGTGTGTGTGAGTGTGTGTGTGTGTGTGAGTGAGTGAGTGTGTGAGAGTGTGTGAGTGTGTGTGTGTGTGTGAGTGAGTGAGTGTGTGAGAGTGTGTGAGTGTGTGTGTGTGTGTGAGTGAGTGAGTGTGTGAGAGTGTGTGAGTGTGTGTGTGTGTGTGAGTGAGTGAGTGTGTGAGAGTGTGTGAGTGTGTGTGTGTGTGTGAGTGAGTGAGTGTGTGAGAGTGTGTGAGTGTGTGTGTGTGTGTGAGTGAGTGAGTGTGTGAGAGTGTGTGAGTGTGTGTGTGTGTGTGAGTGAGTGAGTGTGTGAGAGTGTGTGAGTGTGTGTGTGTGTGTGAGTGAGTGAGTGTGTGAGAGTGTGTGAGTGTGTGTGTGTGTGTGAGTGAGTGAGTGTGTGAGAGTGTGTGAGTGTGTGTGTGTGTGTGAGTGAGTGAGTGTGTGAGAGTGTGTGAGTGTGTGTGTGTGTGTGAGTGAGTGAGTGTGTGAGAGTGTGTGAGTGTGTGTGTGTGTGTGAGTGAGTGAGTGTGTGAGAGTGTGTGAGTGTGTGTGTGTGTGTGAGTGAGTGAGTGTGAGTGTGAGTGTGTGTGTTCCAAAATAAATCTAATTTGTCATTATTAATCTTAGAATAGTGTCCAGATTCCACGGCTGAATAATCAACCATTCATAAAGAGACAGACATGCATTTATTCTTATTATAGACAATAGTTATATTATATTAAGAGACTTTTATTATATGGACAAAAACAATACTGAGACATTTCTTAAAATATTTTCTTTCTTATAATTAGATCACATTTAGATGCTTCATCACACTGACATGATATGAATGAGTGAAAGAATAATTTCATCAGCTGTGGTTTGTGTAATCACAGTCGATCCACATCAGATGCGTATCGTAATAACTCAGTCCGGTGTGTTGATCTCAGATCCGTCACGCCTGTCATACAATAATGACACATGAGGCTTTATAAAGGCCCTCAGACAGTCGACCCAACCTCCGGCTGACCCTTGACCTCCGGTGTGACGGTCACATTCAAATGCACTCAATCACCATCAGGCTGTATTGACCCTGAGCTCCACTCTCCTTCTGAACGGGGAACTTTGATCTTTGACCTTTTTCCAGATCAGTGGACTCTGAATATGCCGATGACGTCCCTCGAGTCCACAAACGCAAGCGGCCATTACCACGCTTTTATCTCCTTAAAAAAAAAGAAAAAGAGAAATTGATCCAGCAGTGATCGATAAATCATTGATCGGCTTTATTTCAGGGAAATATTGCATTTGCTCTGTCAGGAATTAATTAGCTTCTAGTGTCACTTCAGTTTTAAAGTTTTGCTCCACAGATTATTCATAAACTTCATGTCCTGCTACATTTGTGCTCAAATTATGCAACTCGTTATCTTAACCAGCAAGACTACCTGTGTAGTAACTATACCAGCACTAACCAGATTAACCTTTTGTGTTCCACAGGAGAAAATCAAATGTGTTTGGACGACATGATGGTGAGTAAATTATGACAGAAAATCTCAAATGAGTAATTGCATTTAAAGGAAAAGTTCAGAAATGTAAATGTGCTCACCATCAGATCATCTGAGATTAGGATGAGTTTGTTTCTTCATCAGGTTTGTAGAAATGTAGCACTGCATCAGTGTCTCAGCAATGGATGCTCTGCAGTGAATGGGTGCCGTCAGAATGAGAGTCCAAACAGCTGATAAAAACATCACAATAATCCACAGCACTCCAGTCCATCAGTTAACATCTGGAGAAGACAAAAGCTGAAACAAATCCAGCATTAAGACGCTTTTAACTAAAATACATTGAGTCCATAATCCATAATAACGCTTCCTCCAGTGAAAAAGTGTTCTGGTCTGAATCAGGAGAGAAATCTGCACAGATCAAGCAGCGTTTGAACAGCTCTAAACTAATATGTGGCTGGATTCTGATGTGAGAGACAACAGCAGATGCACTTTTTCACTGGAGGAAGCGTTATTATGGATTATGGACTCAATGTATTTTAGTTAAAAGCGTCTTAATGCTGGATTTGTTTCAGCTTTTGTCTTCTCCAGATGTTAACTGATGGACTGGAGTGCTGTGGATTACTTGTGGATTATTGTGATGTT